CATGCCAATTGGTTCCAACAAAAGAAAAATTGTATATGAGTTTATTAAAGATATAGAGTTTGGTTTATTACGAGTTAATAACAAAATAAAGCCAAAAATAAGATGCACAATTGTTCCGCAGCTAAACAGATTTTTAGATACTAATATTAGTCACAATGATGTTGATAACAAGATATTGAATATGTACAAGTTTTCTAGTAATTTTTGTAAGAATAATCCGAATATTCTTTTTACTAAAGCGGATAAAGGAAACGTGACTGTTGCATTGGATAGGGCGCAAAATGTACAGAAAATGAACGATCTATTGAGCGACACGAACACTTACACTATGGTAGGTAGGAACCCAATTAAGAATTTAGAGACCACATTAAATTCTTCACTTAAAAGGTGGCTCACTAGAGGTTACATTACGAAATCTAAGTATTACGCATTGAGATCGAGTGACACTTTGTTACCGAAGGCTTATGGCCTTCCCAAAATCCATAAAAAGGATTGCCCATTGAGAATAATTGTCTCCTCTAGAAATATGGCACTCTCCGCGTTTACTTCGTATTTGCATAATATTCTACATAATAGTCTACCACAAGCAGACAGCTATGTTAAGGATAGTTTTCAATTATACCATACGTTGTCTAACAAAGAAATTTCTAGTGAGGAAATGTTGGTCTCTCTAGATATTATATCTCTTTTTACAAACATTCCTGCGGATCTGGTTTTAGAAGGTATAAAAAATAGATGGAACTTTATAGCCGAAAAAACAAATATACCTTTAGATGAATTCATTTTAGCTTTACAGTTTGTCTTAACGTCAACATTCTTCACTTTTGATAATAAAATATATAAACAGACTCACGGTGCACCTATGGGTTCCTCGTCTTCTCCGGTTTTTGCAGACATTGTTATGCAAGATCTGGAGATGAGGGCACTTGACAGTATCGGAATGAAATTGTTTTTTTATTTTCGGTATGTTGACGATATGCTAATGGTTGCGCCGAGAGAAAGGATTGATGACATTTTGCATACATTTAATAGTTTTTATGAGACTACAGTTCACCGCTGAGATTGAGAATGATCAGAGTATCAGTTTTTTGGATGTTAAAATAATAAGGGACAACAATAAGTTGGTTTTAGATTGGTACCATAAAGAAACATTTTCTGGCAGATACCTTTCTTTTTTGTCAAGCCATCCGATGTGCCACAAGATTGGTACGATATATGGGCTAGTGGATAGGGCTATTATGTTGTCTCACCCAAGATTTCATCAAAAAAATCCTGGCGCTAGTGGTGAACATGTTAATTGATAATGGATACCCGTTGAGTTTAATTTTCGATAAAATTAAATATAGAATAAAGAGTCTAATTTCCACTAAACTGAACGACGGTTACACTGGTGAAGAAAACAAGTGAGGATGATAGGAGGGTCATGGCTTTCTCTTACATTAAAAATGCGTCAGAAATTGTTGCCTCAGCTATAAATAAGAAGAAGTTTTTAGTTGGGTTCAGATGTCTCAATAAGCTGAATAAACTTATAAAGAGAAGATCTCTACTGATTCTGGTAATAATGCAGTGTATAGAATTAATTGTAACGATTGCGACGCCACATATGTGGGACAGACTAAGAGAAAGTTGAAAACGAGAATTTTGAAACATAGGAGAAATATTCTTTTGGACGATTCGAAGCACTCGGTAATTACGAACCACATATTATTATAGAATCGAGTCGTTAGATTGGAAACATGCGACAATTCTCGATTCAGAACCTAATTATCACAAACGTCTTGTTTCCGAAATGATCTATATCAAAGCGCAAAAAAATAGTCTTAATTCTAATGAGGATACCGAGATGCTAGATGAGTCATATTTCAGCTTGTTAGACAGAATTGTAAATGAATTTTAATGTTTGTCTCCACGACATTTACATCGCATAAACAATCCATCGATTTGACCTACAATATCTGTACATTTAGTCCGCAATAGATCCTCGGAAACATAACATCTTGTGGAAAGCTTATATGTACACCGTTACCGTAAGTGTTAAAAAATCGCAGTCTCAATTATTGTGAATTTATGTAACGCGAATCAATTGTGTTCGATCCTCATAGAATCAACTGGTGAAGCATCGTTGATATAATGAAGCGACATATTAAATATCTTATACAGAAATACATTTGGCTGGAAGAAGAGGACAATAAAATCTGTTCGACATTTATCTAAATTTCCGTATGCGTGGATTCGTTTTAATTTGTAATATCATATAATAGCGATTGAGAAAGGCTAAGTAAGCCGAAACTAGTCTTGCGTTTTTTAATTTTAATTTTATTTAAATGACTTATTAAAGAATTTTTATTGACACGCTTTGTTTTATGCTCGTCTTTGGCCTATTGTCCTGTCTTTTTTATTGTTTAAATATAAATATAGATTGAAATTCTTATTAAGAATATTAAATAAAGATTATATTTTTAAACAATTATGTATACAACGGAGTACTTAAAATTTTCCGACTTTTTCCGTATAATTGGGGCTAATTCAAAATGTTATCATTTTAAGTATCGCGAATCTATAGTTAAGACAATTTGTCGCTTAACGCGTCCCGAAAATCGCTCTCGCAACGCTGCCGCTGAGCATGTTGAACAAAAACCAAATTTGTGAAAAACAAGTACCGTTGGACGGCGAGTCATCGCCTGTTTGCGTCAGCGGTTACGGACACTTTTCTAAGTAAACAACTACCGCTAAAAAACATCCACGTCATAAACTAAATCCAGGACGTCGGCTAAAAAGAATTTAACCGACTTCGGTCCAATCGAGTCGGCAGTTCTTCGTCCGCCGTCTTTCCGATCTCGTCGCGGTAAGGTGCTCGCGCTTCAAACTGTAAGATTTCTGTACAATACCAAGACACTCACTAGTCGTGTTAAAATATATGTTTTTTTTTAAAGACCATTCGACTCAACGTTAATCAAAATTCCATATCCTCCGAACATTTGGTCCTTCGAGCCGGATCATCGAGCCGGAATATCGCGCTCAGTGTCGATCAACTTCGCGCCTTTGCGACGATCACATACGATGTCTCTAACATTGGAACAGCTCGTCGATCGACAAATGCATCTCTTTGGACTCATTACACGAAGCGTAGCGAACCTCTACAAACTTGGTGCGGACAAACAGACCAAGACAGCTACAGAGGCTTGCTTAAGAATCTTGGAAAGCAACTGGGGAAAATTCCAGGAAAATCATGAAGAGCTTCTCTATTTCAAAACTGACACTACCGCGAAGAATCAGTACTTTGCCGGAGATTTATACGCAGAATGCGAAGAAAGTTATATCGACGCTGCAGGCACGTTCGCGGCTATTATAGAAAAGTTGAGTGTCCCGTCACCGGCGAATGCGTCCGCGAACTTGAACGCGAGTTCCTGCGGTCTTTCTCGCTCGTTACCCAAGGTGAGTTTGCCGAAATTCACCGGGCTTTTCTCAGAATGGATCCCCTTCCGCGATCTGTTCCACTCAATGGTTATCTCAAACTCGCAATTATCGGACGTGGAACGTTTGCACTACCTTCGCACACATGTCACCGACGAAGCCGAACAATCTATCGTTAATCTTCCGGTAACCGGCGAGAATTTTGATATCGCCTAGAGAAGGCTGAAATCGCATTACGAAAATAAACGGCTACTCGCGAAGGGTCACTTTGACTCAATCTTCTCCATACGACCTCTAGCCCGGGAATCAGCATCCGAACTTAAAGCGCTCCTCGCGACTCTCAAACAAACTCTTAGCGCTTTAAAGTTGCTCGGTGCGGCAACCGACTCCTGGGATCCTCTCGTAGTGTACTTCGCGGAAAGACTACTCGATCCTAAAACGCATCGCGCGGGAGATCAATCAAGGCAAATCGATGGCGCTCGATACCTTCTCGGAATTTGAGGATTTTCTTCTCTCACGTACTCGCGTTCTCGATGCTGTGGAAAAGCGCGCGTAGGTTCCGAAATCTCCCGGATCCGGCCTCAAAAACTCGAAAGCCGTTAAGACAAACGCTAAAAGCCATGCCGCGATCGGAACCTCTCTCAAATGCTCGCTCTGCGGGGCCAACCATTACATCTCATCGTGTTCGACGTACCGTAACAAGACCCCGCATCAAAGACGCGAGATCATCGAGCAAAAGGAATTATGTTTCAATTGTCTCGGACCTCACCGCGTTTCGGCTTGCCGTACGATTAAAAGATGCCTCACGTGTGGACAGAAGCATCATACGTCAATCCATGGTACGGCTGCAAGACAAGTCGACAATGCGGAATCCGCCGAGCGGGACGCGGCTTCCACGGATCCACTCCCTGGTACATCACGCGGTCGGCGTAGACGTGACTGTGAACGAGTGTGTGAAATCCAGTGCGGGAATAAATCAAGCTTCCGATTTCGCGCTACTGGCCACCGCAAATGTGAGAGTTGTCGGTCCTCGCGGAGAGTCTGTCGTGGCGCGTGCGCTCTTGGACCAGGGATCTGAGCTCTCCTTCATCACGGAATTATTAGCGCAACTTTTGAAACTCGAGCGGAAGCGTGCTGCGATCCCGTTGATCGGCATCGGTGCTCAGAAATCGGACACGACTCGAGGCAGGGTCGATTGCGAAATTCGTTCGTGCGTTGCTCCGGCCTTCTCGTGTTGGCTCGCGGCGTACATTTTACCGCGATTGACCGCTCAGATCCCCTCCTCGTCGGTTCGCAGCGCCGAGTGGCCGCATTTGAGGAATATCTCTCTGGCCGATCCCGGCTTTAACGTCCTGGGACGCGTCGATCTTCTCCTCGGCGCGGACATATACGGATCCTTACTTCGCGACGGACTGCGTCAGGGTACACTCGGTACCCCTACGGCTCAACTAACTGCGCTCGGGTGGATAGTGTCCGGGCCGGTCTCGAGATCGAAAGCTGTTCCACGTGGTCTAGCTCACTCAACCTTCTCGTTCGACGGACACCTCAGTGAGCTGGTGGAGAAATTCTGGACACAAGAGGAAGTGCCACCAGCGGCTACCCTGCTGTCTGAGGACGAGGAGCATTTTCACAATACTTATTCCCGGACTTCGTCAGACAGATACGTGGTGAGACTGCCCTTCCGTCGATTACCGACCAGCTTCGGCAACTCCCGGTCAATCGCGACTCGCGCGCTAGCGCGTGTGCAACGTCGGTGCGCACTCAATGACGAATTTACCGGACTCTACAGTGCCTTTCTCAAAGAGTACGAAAAGTTGGAGCATATGAGCCGCGTCCCCTCTAATGAGCGAGAACCGAACTTACTATTCTACCTTCCACATCACGGTGTTCTCCGCGAAACTAGCACGACCACTAAACTTCGTGTCGTGTTCAATGGGTCACAGAAGACGGACATTGGATGCTCGCTTAACGACTTTCTGTACTCCGGGCCAAAGCTACAAACGGAACTCGCGAACGTGCTGCTCTTGTGGCGGCGACATCAGTTCGTCTTTTCTGCGGACATCGAGAAAATGTTCCGCCAGATACTCGTGGATTCTCGTGACTGGGATTTCCAACGAATCCTATGGGCCCCCGAGCCAACTGCCGCGCCAATTGCGTACCGCCTTTGCACCGTCACTTACGGTCTCGCCTGCGCCCCGTACCTCGTGCTCAGAGTTCTGAAACAACTCGCGACAGATGTGGGACTACGATATCCGCTGGCTCGAGATATTCTCCAGACGCAAATCTACGTAGACGACGTACTGTCGGGCGCAGACACCATCCCGCTCGCTCAGGAGAAAATCCGACAATTGGACGCCCTACTGACGACGGGCGGTTTTCAGTTGCAGAAGTGGATCGCCAACGACGACACGTTGCTGGATTCCATCGAATCCAATCGACGAACTAGAACTACCTTGCTGTCCATTGACGACGAGACGGTTTCTCGAGCTCTCGGGCTCCACTGGCACGTGGAGCGGGACCGATTCGTCTTCCGTGTCGGTGGCGTCCATTCAACTCAGATCTGGACCAAGCGCACTGTGTTGTCGGTCATTGCCCGTCTCTTCGATCCGTTGGGATGGCTGAGTCCGGTAATTATCACTGCCAAGATCCTTTTTCAGCAATTGTGGCTGGAGAAGCTCGGCTGGGACGACACACTCTCCAAGACGGCAATGCAACGGTGGAGCAAGTTTCATGACGAGCTCCCGGGCATTGAAGCGGTTTCGGTTTCGCGATGGTTTGGCGGATCTTCAATCTCTGATTCAATCGAGCTCCACGGGTTCTCGGACGCATCCACAGAGGCCCTCGCCGCGTGCGTGTATCTCAAGGTCCGTGACGAACACGGCCAAATACACATAACTTTGGTGGCGGCTAAAACTCGAGTGGCTCCGCTCAAACCTACTACAGTCCCACGTCTCGAGCTCTCGGCTGCCGTCCTCTTGGCTCGCCTAATCGCGCGAATACGGGATGTGCTCGAATTACAATCCGCTCCCCTCTTTCTGTGGTCTGACTCCACCGTCGCTCTCACCTAGATCGCCGGACCTCCATCGCGGTGGAAGGACTTTGTACGAAACAGAGTCGCTCTAATCCAGGAACTCGTACCATCAGCAACCTGGACTCACGTCGCTGGCGAGAACAATCTGGCCGACGTCGCTTCTCGAGGACTTTCGCCACAGGCTCTACAGTCGTGCTCCATTCGGTGGCACAGACCTCCATGGTTGCTGCAACCTTCCACCGAATGGCCAGCTTTTCGCTCTCTCTCGGATTCACAGGAGAATCTCGAGGAACGCTCACGCGCTGCCCCCGTGGCAGCATCTTCAACAGCCTTCGACTTTTCTCTGATTCCAGATAGATTCTCAACCTTGCGACGATTGCTACGGGTGACTGCGTAGGTGATGCGAGCAGCCGCTCGATTCCGCTCTCGCAGGTCCCCCCTGGATACTCACGCTCCTCTCCGGCCGGCTGAAATCTCTTGATCTCTCGAATTTTGGACCAGGCACTCACAAAGGCTCACCTTCGACGCGGAGATCCAATGTCTAGAGAGACACCAGGAGGTTCCGCGCACCAGCAGTCTTCTTCGCCTGGCTCCATTTCTCGATGCTGACGGGACTCTTCGAGTTGGTGGACGCTTGCGCAATTCAACGCTCGAGGCGGAAGCTAAACATCCGGCCATCCTTTCGCTTAAGAACTGTTGGAGATAAGTCCTCGAGCTCCTTACAATAGCGTGCGTACTTATCGACCGAACAGATGTAAAAATGTAATAATGTACTGAACAGTTTGGCGGCGCTGAAGACTTTCAGAACGTTTCAAATATCATGCTGTGGGTCAGTCCCGTTGAAACTATCAGTCGATTCGCATAGTTAGTCTTTTCTTTCTTGTATTGGCAGTTAATTTGTTTAATTAAAGTTATAGTTCTCACTGCAATAAATCGTATACACTCACTTAAATAATCCTGACCTCAACAAGAACCATCTCGCAGCTCTCGTCATAAAGGACGCTTATCGGCAAACCCTTCATGGAGGGGTTCAGCTAACTCTTGCCACCATTCGAAGGTCGTTTTGGATACTCGGAGGTCGAGCATCAGTAAGAACGCATATCCTCCGGTGTATTCCATGTGCCCGACAACGCGCTCAGACTGTTCAACAATTAATGGGACAGCTTCCGAAAACGAGGGTCTCTCCTTCTCGGCCCTTTCTCCATGCTGGGGTAGATTACGCCGGACCGTTTCAATTGAAGACCTGGCACGGGCGGGCAGCTAAAACATACAAGGGCTACTTGGTCGTCTTCGTATGCTTCTCCACTTCTGCCGTGCATTTTGAAGTAGCAACCGATTACAGCACAGCAGAATTTCTTGCGGCGTACCGACGCTTCGCTGGTCGCCGCGGAGTTTGCGCTACG